ATATGTGTTTCTCACATTCTTTACCAAAGGGCTGGCACTAGAAGGTTTCTTTGGAGCCATGTTGACTTATTTTGCAGTTGCAAGCACTAAAACAAATGGAATACAGTATTGTGAAATGTATCGTATGAACTCATGGGATCACCCTCACTCCCTGATAAATAATGGCACACTGGCTGGGAATGGAGTGTGAGGCGGCTCGGGGCTGTGTGTACACGTCCCAGACGAACGACGATTAGTGAGTCAACGGACCATTTGCGAGCCAATGTTTGGACGAAATAACGCGACGATTTCCGAAAAGGACGACTATCGAGCTGGACTATTATCGAAGGACCACTGTGTGTGTGTGTGTGTGTGTGTGTGTGTGTGTGTGTGTGTGTGTGTGTGTGTTGTGTGTGTTGTGTGTGTGTTGTTGTATATATATATATATATATATATATATATATATATATATATATATATATATATATAATATATATATATATATATATATATATACATACATATACACACACACACACACACACAGTGGACCCCCGGTTTACAATCAGCTCCCAATGCGACCAATTATGTAAGTGTATTTATGTAAGAGCGTTTGTATGTGTATGTTTGGGGGTCTGAAATGGACTAATCTAATTCACAATATTCCTTATGGGAACAAATTCGGTCAGTACTGGCACCTGAACATACTTCTGGAATGAAATAATATCGTAAACCGGGGTCCACTGTATATATATAAAGTATATATTTATTTATTTTTATTTTTACAGCATATAATCACTAGGGATGGGACAATACCAAAATTTTAATGGATTCCAATGTCAATATTCAATTTTGGGCCAATACTGGCACCATCAAAATTAGCCAATACCAATACTTTAGCACACCCCTACTGATCATGAGTAATATCCTGGGCTTGCAGTAATAAATCTTGGGGAATTATTTGGGAAAATATGTTACAATTATTTAAGCAAAAGAACTTCACTCTTCCTTTACTGAGTTATACTGTATTGCTCAGTAAACTCCCTAAAGCCTGGCACCCTTAGAGTCAAGGCCTTGCCTGGTTTCTCAAAAATTGGGCAGATAAGATGGACTTTCAAAAATACTGACCTTCTTGACATATTTTACACTTGCTATTTTTTCCTCAATTAATAAACGAATGCTATAGTAATACATGTATATGTATACAAAGTAAATTAACCCTTTGACTGTTTCAGTCGTATATATATGTCTTACGCACCACTGTTTCTGATGTATTTATACACGTAAATTCTAGCGGCTTCAAATCAAGCAGGAGAAAGCTGGTAGGCCCACATGTGAGAGAATGGGTCTGTGTGGTCAGTGTGCACCACACAAAAAAATCCTGCAGCACGCAGTGCGTAATGAGAAAAAAAAAATCCCTGACCGTTTTTTTGGATGAAAATGCCAACTTTGAGGTGTATTTTCGTATAGTATTTATCGTTGTATTCTCGTTTTCATGGTCTCAGGAGATAAAATGGAAAACATATTACAGAAATAGAGATGATTTTGATTACTTTCACGATGAAAACGACCTTGAAATTGAGCTCAAAGTAGCGGAAATGTTTGATATTTAAAAATGTTCAGGAGTAAAAAAATCACACCACACGTCCAATACACTTCAACTGGGGAGTCTAATATTCTTTCACTAGTGCACTGATATTATTTATACCATTTTTACAATAATGCAGTAGTCTGCATAACAGTAAATTTTGTATTTTTTTTTGTATGAATAAAAAATCAAAATAGAAAGCAATAGTAATATTAGAGGGGCCTAGAGACGTGACTAATGAACAGAGGATATGTTATTTTAGTGCCAAAAATGTCTACATTGTTTATTCTGGACCCTATTTTGAAACTGGCATCTTTTTTAATTTGCGTGAAATTGGCCAAATTGCCAATTTCTGACCACTTTATTGGGTAGTTCAAATCGGTAAATGGGCGGTTTCTTGTACTCAACAGATAGAAAAAATGGAGTTCTAAAGAAATAGCTATTAGTTTGGTCAACTGGAACAACGGAATTGCCCAAAAACAGGGCTCAAAGTCGGCGAAATCGCCGATGCGTATATGTCGCCGAGACCGCTAACTTCGTGGGAGCGTAATTCCCTGAGTTTTTGACCAAATTTCATACTTTTGGTGTCATTACCACTGGGAAAAGATTCTCTATCATTTCATAAGAAAACAATTTTTTTTTTTTCCCAAAAAAAATCTATCGACATAGAAGGACAGTTTCAGAAAGGGGCCTGCGACAGTCAAAAGGTTAAAAGTATAAAAAGAAAGTACATATAGTAAACCTTCAATTTAGTGGACTAACAGGGTGCAGGTGGCTGGTAATGGTGATCATAACTGCTGTGACCGTAAATGACAGACATCTCTGTAAACAATGGACTTTGTTGGTTGTTTCCAGATCAAGTGAATCGAATTTGACACAAAGTGGAGTTGACACAGTTTCTCTCTGCTGATGACTCGGTACTTCTGGGAGATTCTAAAGAAAAGTTGCAAAGGTTGATGGATGAATTTAGAGGGCATTAAAAAAAAAAAAGGTTAAAAGTGAACATAGGAAGGAGCACAATCATGATATCAGCAAGAAATATAAACAATGAAAGACTGGATATCAGATTGGAGGGAGGGAGCATGAAAGTGAATGTTATCAAATATTTGAGAGTGGACTTGTTGACAGATGGGTCTATGAAAGATGAGGTGAACTATGGAATAGGTGAGGGGTTCAATGATGTGGTGCACTGAGGTATCTGTGGAGGCAAAAGGGAAACTGTATTATAGTGGTAGCAACACTGTTATCTGGGTTTGAAGCCATAGGTTTATATACTGGAGGCTGGAGGGAGTGGGGATGTTGTGTTTGAGGGCAATGTGCAGTGTGAGTATTATACATACAGAGAATTCAGAGCTTGGAGATTAAGTGTGGGATATACTTTTGAAGAGTTTTGAGAGTTTCTCTATTCTCTGAGCCTGACTATGGGCCAGGTTGCCAAAAATATAATTCAGAGAGGTTAGCGAGGTGGTTTGGGCAGTTAGAGAGGACGGAGCTGATTAGGATGATTAAAAAAGTTTATAAATCTAGGATGGAACAAAGAAAGGTGGTATAGGAGGTTCTGAGTGCCAGAAACTTGAACATCCAACAGGCTTGTGTGAGTGTTACACAGGAGTGAGTGGAAGCAAGTGGTTTTTGTGATGATGTGCTCTTGGAGTGTAAGCAATGTGACACATATGAAGGCTGTTGGAGTGTGAGCAAGGTGACACATATGAAGGAATTCAGAAAAATCCAGTTTGCCAGACTCGAGTTCTGGAGGTGGGAAGTACAGCTCCTGCACTCTGGAGGAGTAGGGATGTTGCAGGTTGGATAGATCAACTGAACTATAATGTCAGTACTTCTCTGTCAAGACAGTGATTGAGTAAGTGACAGTTCACATTATCTAGGTGGCAGATGGATGGTGGCTTAAAAAAAAATTGCAATGTCCATTAAATTGAGGGTTTCTAGCAAACCCCCCAATCCATCCCAACTTAATAGTCAGCTGTGATGTGTTCAAAACCAAGTGTGCTATTAAGCAATTATTTTAAATAAACACAAGTTTACCACTGACAAAAAACGCTTGCTGAGTCAGCTTTGTGAGAACTGGATGTAGCCAGATGGTCCTTGCATCAGAACACTTATCCATATATATGTAAGTATCTAACATAGATGTACATGTACAGTAATTCACAATGCCATTAAAACAACAATGTGAGCAGAAAATTTTGGCCTATACATGAGAGAATGGACCTGTCCAATGGATGTGAGCACTACAAAAAAAAAAAAAAAAATCCTACCCCACACTGTGCATGATGGGAACAGCTACCCTCTAGCTCAGTATTTGGGATAAAATAGTGACTTTGGGGCATTTTCTAGGATGGTTTTCATGGTATTATTGACTTTCTTGGAGCCAAATAATAGCTGGCAAGATGTGGCAGAAATATGAAATTTTTGTAAGATTTTCCTGAGGAAGGGCAACATCCTTCTCTGTCTGTTTTATGGGGTTTTACTAGTTCTGATTCAACAACTGGGATTGCCTTAACAATGACCAATCATTCTTAGTTATATTTTTTTAGGCTGAAAAATAGGAAAAAAAAAAAAAAACACTGACTTCTTGTGATGAGGATGATGAACTGAAAATAGAGAGCAAATTTTATATAAGAGTCCTGGCTTTATTGCCTTTGTTTCAAACTAGAATTTGTTGAAAAAAAGCATAAAATTGGCCAAATTACCAATTTCTGGACATTTTTTAGTCCTGGAAGTTGAATGGGTAGTTCTTGCAATTAACAGATAATACAGCAGGCATACTAGTGAAATAGCCAAAAGCTGGCTCAATTTGCACATTGGAAATGACCTAAAATAAACCTCAAAGTGGCCAAAATTACTATTGTATGGCATGCTAACCAACCTCCAGCTACATCAAATTTTGCATTTTTGGTGTCCTTACCTTTAGAAAAAAAAATTACATTTTAGAGGGTAAAATTATTTTTTAAATGCTGGCACAGAAGGGGCTTTTAATTTAGGGGTGATGACAGTGAAAGGGTCAAGAGAATCATTTGTAGCTGACCATCTCTTGTTTTAAAGTTCTTGTTAGGCAGTTTGTCAGTTTTTTCAATAGCTATGATGATAACATTGTTTCTTGTACACAAGAACTTCCAATGTAAGTTACCATCAGGTCTCAAACAATTCTCTTCCATTCTACTGGATGGTTCAAATGCATTTTGTACTTCTTTCCAGTTTTTATTTCTTTAATTTGTAATAGCGAACATCACATTGTTTTCTGTGGCCCAGTGGAAAATTTTGTTTACATCACCTTAAAGGTTTTATGTAACTTTGTTCTCTCTCCTCCTCTTGTTCCTTCCTCCCTATTTCTCTCCCTCTACCTCCATCCTCCAAATCTCTCTCCCTCTACCCTCATCCTTTCTATCCCTCTCCCTCTACATACTCCCTCCCTATCTCTCTATCTCTACCTCCTCTCTCCCTATCTCTCTCTCCCTATTTCTCTCTCATTTTCCCTATACCTCCTTCCTTCCTATCTCTCCCCCTCTACCTCCCCACTTCCTATCTCTCTCTCTCTTTCCCTGTACTGCCTTCCTCCCTATTGCAGTCCCATCTCTTCCCCATGACTTTAAGCAAAATGTTGGTCTTCTTTGCCACTACAATTCTTAGCATTTTTTTAAAGATGATTTCTTATAAGACTTCAAAAGAGAATTAATATTACCTGGAGTTTACCTGGAGAGAGTTTCGGGGGTCAACGCCCCCGCGGCCCGGTCTGTGACCAGGCCTCCTGGTGGATCAGCGCCTGATCAACCAGGCTGTTGCTGCTGGCTGCACGCAAACCAACGTACGAGCCACAGCCCGGCTGATCAGGAACTGCCTTTAGGTGCTTGTCCAGTGCCAGCTTGAAGACTGCCAGGGGTCTGTTGGTAATCCCCCTTATGTGTGCTGGGAGGCAGTTGAACAGTCTCGGTCCCCTGACACTTATTGTATGGTCTCTTAACGTGCTAGTGACACCCCTGCTTTTCATTGGGGGGATGGTGCATCGTCTGCCAAGTCTTTTGCTTTCGTAGTGAGTGATTTTCGTGTGCAAGTTCGGTACTAGTCCCTCTAGGATTTTCCAGGTGTATATAATCATGTATCTCTCCCTCCTGCGTTCCAGGAATACAGGTTTAGAAACCTCAAGCGCTCCCAGTAATTGAGGTGTTTTATCTCCGTTATGCGCGCCGTGAAAGTTCTCTGTACATTTTCTAGGTCGGCAATTTCACCTGCCTTGAAAGGTGCTGTTAGAGTGCAGCAATATTCCAGCCTAGATAGAACAAGTGACCTGAAGAGTGTCATCATGGGCTTGGCCTCCCTAGTTTTGAAGGTTCTCATTATCCATCCTGTCATTTTTCTAGCAGATGCGATTGATACAATGTTATGGTCCTTGAAGGTGAGATCCTCCGACATAATCACTCCCAGGTCTTTGACGTTGGTGTTTCGCTCTATTTTGTGGCCAGAATTTGTTTTGTACTCTGATGAAGATTTAATTTCCTCATGTTTACCATATCTGAGTAATTGAAATTTCTCATCGTTGAACTTCATATTGTTTTCTGCAGCCCACTGAAAGATTTGGTTGATGTCCGCCTGGAGCCTTGCAGTGTCTGCAATGGAAGACACTGTCATGCAGATTCGGGTGTCATCTGCAAAGGAAGACACGGTGCTGTGGCTGACATCCTTGTCTATGTCGGATATGAGGATGAGGAACAAGATGGGAGCTAGTACTGTGCCTTGTGGTAACAGAGCTTTTCCCCGTAGCTCCCTCGGACTTTACTCTGTTGACGACTACTCTCGTGTTCTGTTAGTGAGGAAATTATAGATCCATCGACCAATTTTTCCCTGTTTTTCCCTTTTTAGCGCGCATTTGTGCGCTTTTACGCCATGGTCAAAACTTGTCGAAGGCTTTTGCAAAGTCTGTATATATTACATCTGCATTCTTTTTGTCTTCTAGTGCATTTAGGACCTTGTCGTGGGTGATCCAGTAGTTGAGACAGACAGGAGCAGACCTGTTCTAAACCCATGTTGCCTGGGTTGTGTAACTGATGGGTTTCTAGATGGGTGGTGATCTTTGCTTCTTAGGACCCTTTCAAAGATTTTTATGATATGGGATGTTAGTGCTTTGGGTCTGTAGTTCTTTGCTGTTGCTTTACTGCCCCCCTTTGTGGAGTGGGGCTATGTCTGTTGTTGTTTTAGTAACTGAGGGACGCCCCCCCGTGTCCATGCTCCCTCTCCATAGGATGGAAAAGGCTCGTGATAGGGGCTTCTTGCAGTTCTTGATGAACACAGAGTTTTCCATGGAGTCTGGCCCTGGGGCAGGGCATGGGCAGTCATTTACCCCGCCTGTTCAAGTCATTTGGCTCAGGATAACATCGGATAGGCTTGTGTTAATCAAATTTTGTGGCTCTCTCATAAAAAATTCATTTTGATCTTCGACTCTCAGTCTGGTTAGCGGCTTGCTAAAAACTGAGTCATATTGGGAACAAAAACTAAGAAATACAACACACGACTTGCAAGCTCAGCCGCATGTGTCTGTCCCACCTAATGTTTGCTCCTGGGTGGCCAATGCTTCTTGATAAATAAGTCAGTTTCCTAATTCTTTGCTCTTAAGCAAATTACTGTAACCAATGTGTTAAGCGGTAGCTACCTGTATCACAAAATTACATGACTAAAACACAAATGAGTTTGTTTTAGGCAAACCTTGACAATGCCTGTTTCTTTAAAACAACATTTTACAGTTTCTATTTTTGTTTTATATAAGAGACAAAACTTAACCAAGCCTAACATTACTGCAAGCCCTGCATTTATTAATTTTAAAATGCATTATTTTAAAAACAACAACATATACAAAAACTAAAGAAGCTGGTCCTTACTTCCCACTTTGTTGACAAACTGTATACAGTATACTGCATATTTAAACT